ACCACCCATCTTGAGGAGTTTGCCCCCTCACATATACTAATGTGCCACAAACAGGACTTTAATATCACCAACCATTCCCATTTTATTACGATGTAATAATCTGTACATCAGCAGCTGTGCAAAAAGATTCAGACTATAAGGTGAAACTTCAGAGTGGCACCTGTTAGCCACTCTAACTCTTTCTCCTAAAGGTTTTTTGCTGTTTACATTTGAGAAGCTAGATGTAGAAGCATCGCCTGTGTCTGCTTTAATGGAGTGGTTGTGAACTTGTGGCAATTTCTCACCTGAGTGAGATCACTTCCTGTGTGCAGGTGCAGCATTTCTGACTACGGTGGCGTCCGCAGGGATGATCGCAGGATTCGGCTCCACATTGGCGCTCGCCAAGAAGAAAAGCCCGGAGTGGTTCAACAAGGTAAACTTAACCTGAGCTCACAGTGCAGGTGTTTGTTTCTCTCTCAGAATCATAACTCAGTCAGAAACTCATTCATGAAGCACACATTTGTAGATTGTCATCACTAATAAACATCTATAAATCCTCTGAAACAGCAGGAAAACGTTCTAACTGCACAACCTCACAGAGAATCTCCATATTTTTCACTTGTTAAAAGGTAGACGGAGTAACGTTGTCACCCGGCGGGTGGGCGGCGTGGACACCAAAGTTTGTGAAAAACGAGGCGACGTAGATGCTTCAAATTGTTACCTACTAAATTTCAAATCTCAGTGACCTCGACCTCAAGGTCAGACGTCAAGTTTTCCTAAAATGTTGTGAATGCAATACGATGACGCAGGATTTTGAAATTGATGCCGTAGGTGTGTCTACTTGGAGGCAGCGCCGGCAGTATTTATACTTTTATTGAGCTGAGGCTTATCATCAGTCTTTGGAAACTTAAAAATTGTGGATATTTTAACTTGAAAATGTAGCTGGACTGAGGATCTGATGGATGGCACACACTACTTCCGGTCCTTTTTCCACCCATTCAGAGGTTTCAGCGGTGCTTTCATGAGAAGCTAACTATGCTAACAGCAGCTTGTTTACGGCCTCAGCCTCCTGAAGACAATCGATGGCTGTCCGCACATCTGCGATGACGTCTCGACCTGAAAATAGACTTTCCGTGAAGTCCTGGCGCGTGGCGGCCACAGCTGTTTGAGTTATTGGCGACTGGCGGGATCCGATTAATGCTGACGCACATGTGAGATAAACTTGACGTGAAAGCACAGACGGATCTATTTCAGTCACAGACTCGTCTTTGTGGTCGTCTCTGAATCGAAGCCTTAGGCTGAGCTTCAGTTAGGAAATGTAAAATCTGATTAGAGGGTTGAGGTCATTAAAGTGCAGCTTTTACTCTGTTTCAGCTGAAAAGGAAAGACGTCAGCTGTGCTTCCTGTCCTCAAACTTGGAGGTTGTAAATCATTCAGGGAGGTGATGGAGGTGTGTAGAGAACATCTTGCACAGATGAGCTTTTATTTTTTCCTCAGATTTCCTTCTGAGGAAATAATGGCCACCAGCACCAAACTGTTGAAGAATTGGAGAACCCGAGCACTGGAGCATCCATTAAAACGAGATAATGGCGTAACACTATTGCAGTTCATGGCGATTGTATGGGTCATTTTCACACTGAAGGAGTTAACCTGATGTCACTCAGAACTTCAAGCACCTGTTAGCCATGAGTCACCAAAACACCCGAGTGAAGAGCTGAAGTTAGTTTTCGAGAACCCTTTCAGGGGTTCAGGTTTGTCTGAGTGGCGACCTTCAGCAGCAGCTCTTGGATTTTTTTGTGCTCACTCTGAGGGTGAAAGTTACTTATTTTTCTATAAAGACAGGTTTTACAGATCTACTATAGTTTTTTTTTGCTTTACATTGCATTCTTGGCCCCAGAGAAGCTTAACGAGGAGATCGTGCTGCCACCCCTACTGCTAGGCCAGTTAGCCTCGAGGAGCTACAGAGATGTTTTTCTTTTAGAGCTGGAGCCGTCCAAGCAATCATCATGAGGTGTGAAGCGGATTAGCTCGGCGAGAGGGAGCACCGGGAGCTGATGGGTTAAAACGAGAGAGATTGCCACGCTCGGACCACATGTGATCGAACCGGGCTTCAGGATGCAGCAGGAAGTGATGTGGAGGGACGGCACAAACCAAGAGCTGACGTAGTCCAGGACATGCTGCAAAAACATTTCTGTGATTCTGTGATATTTATCTGTGAGCTGCTGGAAGGCGTTCATGTTTGTTGGAATTGTTCCAGTTTGATTCAGCACAGTTCAGATTCCTCCATCGCGTGACAGAGAGGATAACCTCACTCTGCTCCACCAACCGGACGTGCAGCTGACACTTTAATGTCCGTTTCAGCTATTTGTTGAATTCCCTCACGTTTTTGGCTGTAAAAGTAATTTCACAGCTTCTGGGAGAAATAATTCCCGTAAGAAACGGGGAAACGTTTCTCCCACTGAAAACGCTACGTCCAGATGAACAGAATCAACTTTTGGAGAATTCCCGTAAGACCAAATGCAGCTGTAAAACCTGATGTCAGATTTTTTCCCTGCTTGTTTCCTGTGCAGGGCGTCACAGCGACGGCGGCAGTCCCGGAGAGCGGCGCATCTCTGGCCCTCAGAGCTCTGGGGTGGGGCTCGCTGTTCGCCTGGTGTGGAGTAGGCCTGCTCGGCTTCAGCGTGTGGAAAGTCCTCGGCGTTCA